TACAAAAGGAGGTGGTGTTGGATGTAGTTTAGCTGTCTCTTTGCATGGTTGCCAAAAAGTGTCCTTGCATGCATCTGCTGCCAAAAGGTGGGCTACTCGATTTCCTTCGCGGAAGTTATGCCGTAGGGACAGGTCCTTCTGCTGGAGCATCAATGACCTGCATAAATGAACAGTATTAGTCATGACAAAGTGATCTTTATCTAGTGTATGGATAGCTTCGGTGGAATCTGTTTCAATTTCTAATGAAAATAGGTTGTAAATTGCTATTTTCATGCCTTCGTGGATTGCCTGGAGTTCTGAGTATAAAGGTGAAAGAGCATTGTCTATTTTTTGAAAGCCTAATATCCATTTTCCTTTATGGTTTCGGAAGACTCCTCCAATACCAGATTTATTTCCTTCTTGTTTGAAGGCTCCATTCGTGTTAAGCTTGTGCCAGTCACGTTGAGGAGGGTACCATTTTATGTCAATGATGGATTTATCCACATTTGATAAGCCAGTGGAGTTGAAAAAGAGGAATTCAAAAGCTAGATTGCAGATATGTTTCATGCGAGGGGAATAATGGGTGTTGTTGATATTATTGTCGTTTCTACTGATCCAGATACCCCATAGAAGGAAAGGTAGAAGATTACTTCAAGGGATTTTTAGGGTATTAGAATTGATATTTTGTCCCTCAGTTTGATTAACAAATGTTCGTCCTGATTAGTGAACAAGTTAGTAATTTTAAAGTATCTCCATATGCCAGAGACAATGGGGCATGTGAGGAAGATGTGAGTGATGGTTTCCTCTTGATCTTTGCAACTAGGGCAATGAGGATTTAAATTGATGCCAATATGATAGAGATATGAACGGCAAGGAATCTTATTGTGAAGAATTTGCCAAAAAAATATATTATTTTATTAGGGCAGGGCATTTTTCATATCCACTCAAAGTCATGGTTACAACTAGTGTCCCATTGATTTAGTAATTTGTAGCAAGATTTTGTATTGAATAACCCGTTTAGGTTGGGTCTCCATAGGGGTTTATCTATGTTTTGAAGGGGTAAGGGAATAAAATTAACTTTATCCATGATTGAAGGGGGTATAGTAAAAAGGTTTTATCAAAATTCCATATCCCTTTATGGAATAATTTCTTGATAGGAAGGGTAGCTTCATAAGATTCAGAGGGCCCTCAATGCAGGCTCTCAGAGATGGAGTTGAGGGATCCATTGGGTCTCCCAACTATTAAGGTTCGAATTTCTGCCAGGAAACCATTGAATTCCTTCGTTACAAGTTTTCCAACCAGTAAGAACACTCTTCCATATGAAGGAGGAGTGTTTGAGGTCTTTCTTACAATATTTGTGGATTAGGAGGTTTGCCCAGGGGGAGGAGATATTCTTAATTAATCTCCAAGAGAGACTACTGAGCAAGACTTTATTTTTTGACTGGGCGTCTTTCATTCCTAGGCCTCCTATAGCTTTAGGCTTGGAAACAGTGTTACAATTAATAAGGTGAAGCTTTTTTTGGTTTGACGTAGTGCCCCTGATAAAATTTCTTTGAATTTGATCAATTTGTTTAAGAGTTTTTTTGGGGAGCAAGGTGTATTGCATAGCGCGGTTTGGAATGGAATTAAGGGTTGCAAGTACTAAGGTAGTCCTATCAGCTATGTTTAGAAAATTGGTTTTCCAATTTGCAAGTTTAGCCCGCATTTTCTCGATAATGAATTGGTAATCTGAAGCCTTGGCAAAATAGTTCTAATCGTACGCGAAGAGTATTTTCCTGCTTTAGCTATTCCTTTTAAATTTTCTTAAACTTTTTGGAGAAACATAATTTTGAATGATCTGTGTGTTTTGAATGAAAATAAAGTAGAGATATGGCAAAAATAATAGAGAGATGAAATAAATTGTTATTAAAAAAAATCAGTGTATATGTATTAAGGATATCCTAGAGGCTAAATAGTAAGAAGAAAAATAGTTAGAGTGTGCATTTGAAAAAATAATACCAAGTTAGAAATGCAGCATATAGAGAAATCCGAAATAGACCAACTGTATTAGAGAAAAAACTTAACCAAAACTTCTTTTACTACTAATGAGATTAATTGGTATAAGCATGTAATTTCATACTACGACAAAGAGAAAAACATAATTGCTTGAATAATATTAAACTCTCCATTTTATAAAATAATAAAATATCAAACTAGTTTGTTTTACAAAAAATAAAAGAAAAAAGGAAGAAAAAAAAAACTTAAGTGGGGCGGGGCGGGGCAATTTGGCAAGTTAAAATTTTTGTGGTTTTTGCCAAACCTATCCCGCCCCGCCCCCACGGCCATCCCTAGCTCTACAAGTGGGGTCTGATGAGGGTAAAATGTATGTAGACCTTACCCTTACTTCGTGTGAGGTAGAAAAAGTATTTCCGATAAACCCTCGGCGCAAAAAATTGCTGAACATATTTGAAAAATACAAAAGTAAAAAAACTATGAAGAAAATACTGAAGAAAAGAAGAAAAAAAGTATTGCCCGCAAAATAGCAAGGAAAACCAAAGTAAAAGAAACAACAAAAGTGATAAAATTGAAGAATAAGATAATACTAAAATACTAGTAATAATACTGATAAATAGAAGAGGGAGCAAATCAGGTGCTCTAAACTAGAACCATGCACTCCTATAGAAACAAGAGAGATCCCTCTATTACATACTAACCTTCTTTTCTAATCCTCATCCTCTAAGTTCTCCTATCTAGGATCATGTTCTAGGTGAGCTAAAGATGTACCATATCTTCCTCAGTTTATCTCTATCTTTCCTTAGACCTATTACTACCAACCTCTTGCACCTTCTCACAATCTAGAACATTGCTGCTTCTCGAACTTTATTTTCACATGCCTGAACCTCATCTTCATATGATATTATCACACAAGGTTTAAACTTACTTAACTCCTAAGATCCAATTTGTTGATATACCCAAATAAATTCTGCAGGTGAATGTATCATAAGAAAGTATCAAGTGTTGTTATATATGTACATGTACACGAGATAGTAACTCATTTTGCTTGAATAAGAAGTTAGCAATGGATAGAGAGTCGTTGCTTCATGGCAAATATTTAATGATTAATGGGTCTACTTGCCACTTGACTAATCCTTGGCATCTCTCTATTTCTATACTGACAGTGGCAGTGCAACAAGCAACATATATGGATTATTCTGGCATGTCCTTTTCATTTTCCGGTTGTTAGGAGTGAAAATCACGTTTCGGATATATGTTGCCCATCATCTCTCCAGATGGCTTTAGCAACACTATTACAGGGCCACACTCACTCACCCTTCTGTCTCAAAATTGACTAGAATATTGCAATTCTGGAAAAGTATTTGTCCACGCTTTATACTTAAATATAAAATAATTTAATTATAAGAGTCAGAAGTTAGAGATACTCTAGTATAAGTATGATTAAGTAAAAGAAATTCGTATGCAAAACACAAGTTAGACCATTCATTTACATATTTACTTAGTGAATAAATTTTTCCCTTACTTTATGAGGTGAGAAGATCATTTGTTTTCTTTTTATTTATACCTGGGCGGTGGTCAATTAAGAGTTACTATGTTGTAGAGTAATTGTTTATATGAGATTTTGAATTACAATATTTTCTAATTTACATCTCAATCTAGATATCAATTTTTTAAAAATGTTTTAACAAATAAAATTATAATTTAGAAAATGGGTAAAAATCATTTACATCCCTCAAGTTTACTCTAAAAATCAAACTCATCTTTCAACTTTGAACAATTGTCATTTTCATTCTTTTATCCTATGCAATATCTATTTTTCCCTTGACATTTTCAACTCCCATATATATATATATATGTAACACATTTTTTATATTATTTAGAAATTTTTTAATGCATGTATTTATTCATAAGTTAAAAATATTATATCTTATTATATAATTTAATCTAATTTCACTAACATCATAAATAAAATAATCATATTATGAATTTATTACAAAATGTAATGCTTGTTCTTTACTATTATTATTATTATTATTATTATTATTATTATTATTTTAATGCATGTATATTAAAATGCATATAATGTATGTCTGTGTGTGTGTAATTTTAAGTTTCACTATTTTTATTATTCACTACGTGTATATAAATTTTTTAGTTTTGATTGTTATTAGTAGATTTTTTCAAAATTATAACTAAAGTTCATGCAAATTGTAAATAGATAATTTTTGCAAATTTATTATAAAATTTACTATTTTTCGTCCATTATTTTTATTACTTGCAGCGTATAATTTATAAAATTTCATTCTCTTTATTCTCAATTTTGTAGATAGATTGAGTTTGCTATTAATAAAATTGCTCATACGAGTAAATTATTTATTGTAATTTTTATTTTTTTCATTTTTTTCACTATTGAACATCATTAACTTATATGCTTGACTACCCCTTCTCACCATTTTGGTTTCAAAAAAGTTTTTTAAATTTTTCTATAGGTAAGTCGATAACATAAATTAAAATAAGAAAATATCATTATATTGAAGAATAAAAATAAGAGATAAAAATTATAGAGGGTAAAATAGATATTTTAAGAAATCGCTTTTGATATGAGGAGCCGAATGATAATTGTTCAAAGTTAGAGGATGAGTTTGATTTTTAAAGAAAACTTGAGGGACGTAAATAAATTATAATTTATCTAGAATTACAAACATCAAAACATTTATGAAAGAATCATGGTAAATAAAAATGTATAGTTCCAAAAAATAGCAAAATATCTGCAGAATATGGAAAAAAAGAAGCATCATGAGACATGTCTCCTCTCAATTACGTGCCACCTTTCACATTCATATTACTGCTATGTACAACTAACTATACACGTACGGTGATTACGACATCCCAACCCACCCCAAAATTTTCGTTACATTTCAAAATTCAAAAATTCCCACTAAAACGAAACGTTTCCACCACCGTTACAGTTAACGGCGAAAAAGCTCCCGTTTACTCGCGGCTTTCCAATATATAAACTCTCCCTCTTCTCTGCTGCATTTCCCAAATCCAAATTATTCTCTCTACACCACTAAAACCCTCACTGGTCCTCTCTCCTACACAACAAAAGCACATAAAAATCCAAAATCAAATTCAAATTTCAGCAGCAAAAATGCGTGAGATTTTGCACATTCAAGGAGGTCAGTGCGGGAACCAAATCGGAGCCAAGTTTTGGGAAGTTATCTGTGCCGAACACGGCATTGATTCCACCGGAAGGTATGCAGGAGACAATGATCTTCAACTGGAGCGGTTGAACGTTTACTATAACGAAGCGAGTTGTGGAAGGTTTGTTCCACGCGCCGTCCTCATGGATTTGGAGCCTGGAACTATGGATAGTGTCAGATCTGGGCCTTATGGTCAGATTTTCCGGCCCGATAACTTTGTTTTTGGACAGTCTGGTGCTGGTAATAACTGGGCCAAGGGTCACTACACTGAGGGAGCCGAGCTTATTGATTCGGTTCTCGATGTTGTGAGGAAGGAGGCTGAAAACTGTGACTGTTTACAAGGTAATTCATATTTCTCCTCTATTTCACTATTTAGTTGTCTATTAAGCGTTTTAATTCCGATTTTACTAATTTAATCTCTTTAATTGATTGATTAGGAATGTGTAGTATTTATTTGGAGAAACCGCTGGTTATTATGACAAATAATCAAGTGATATGTTACTTACCACTGTCATTCTGATGTTTTTTGTTATGATTATTTATTTTTCGCAATTTAAAATAGATTGTTTATTGTGCATCCTTTGGAGTGTATTTTGATTATAAAAGATGCGGTACCTGTTTGAATGAGTGCTTTGATCTAACTTAGGTTTCTTATATATTAGCGCATATGAAGTTTCAATGTGTTTGTATTTCAATTTTTACTGAAAAACGTCTTTCATCGTGGTAAGAAAATTTGTGTCTATTTTGGCTAAGTCGCTAGTTATGGAGAATAATTGAGTGATATGTTACTTAACACTGTAATTCAGGACGTATCTGTTCTTATTTTGTTATTTATATTATTTAGCTTGTTTTGAGCAACTCAACTATTCTCTTAATGGCTATGTGATGGTTGCTGCAATGGCTTGAAATCTCTTTGCTTGGTAAATGCCTTATTTTTGGTCCAGAACTAAGTCAAATGAAGAAGGTCTATGACTATGTAATGGGAATGCGCTTTGGATTTTGTAGATTCAGACCCTGCTTGCATGAGTCTTTGATCTAAAATAGATTGGGGTTTTTAGACCTTTAAAATGAATAAAAGATTGGGCTGGCTACCTTTAGCTTACATCTTGTGAATGCATTTTGTGCTCGAAGTAAAATACCTTGTCCACTAATAAGTAATCTGATATGTTAAACAAATGAATAAGAACTTTGTGTTTGATTTCAGGTTTCCAGGTTTGTCACTCTTTGGGAGGTGGAACTGGGTCAGGAATGGGAACTCTCCTTATTTCAAAGATCAGGGAGGAGTACCCAGATAGAATGATGCTTACCTTCTCTGTTTTCCCTTCCCCCAAGGTTTCAGACACAGTTGTTGAGCCCTATAATGCTACTCTCTCTGTTCACCAGCTTGTTGAGAATGCTGATGAGTGTATGGTGTTGGATAATGAAGCTCTTTATGACATTTGCTTCCGCACTCTCAAACTTACTACACCGAGCTGTAAGTTAACCCTTTTAAAGTTAGCTGTTCTTTTTCTAATGCAATCTGAAACTTGTGTGCTATATTTTCATAAATTTCATGCACCTTGGGTATCATCTATTTTGACTTAGAATACTCCATTAAATTTGAGATGAGCTGGGAAGGATAGGGTGCCATTCATTTATGTATGTGCTGTGCATGTTTTATGTTTCTAAATTTCTCATTTTAGCGGAAAGTTGATTTGAAGTATCATTTTCAGTTGGTTATCTAATTGCATTTAGATTCTTTACTATCCTTTTCAGTCAATATTATGTGCAAAAGTTTTTTGATTGTGTACGATTCTGGTTTTATGATCACTACATATTAGTGCTTGCCATCTTTTCCCTTTCTTTCATTTTAAAATTGTACTCGCCCCCTCTAATTTGGTGCATGAATTCTACTGCATGTACCATTGTTATTAATATACTTCATACAGTGGATTTTGTTCATTTATTTACTGATGGATGATGTTTGCCTCAGTTGGAGACCTAAACCATTTGATTTCTGCCACCATGAGTGGTGTAACTTGCTGT